TTTTCTCTTTTTTTTTTCAAAATCCCTCTTTTATGAGATTCATTCTCTATGTAAGGAAAAAGTCTTGAATGCCATTCATTGTTTTTTAATCAATGGTTCAATGAAACAGTATTTGAATCTTTTTCTTTTTTCAAATTAAGCCTACCTCTTACTAACTTTGCCATATATTTATCTAGATCTTTTTGAAGATACATCTTTGTTTTTTTTCAAAGAAGATAATTAGATTAAGTGTTTTTTGAAAAAAAACAAAGATGTTCTATCTCCTTCTAGTGAAAGCGGAAAGAGAGGGATTCGAACCCTCGGTAGACAAAAGCCTACATAGCATTTCCAGTGCTACGCCTTCGACCACTCGGCCATCTTTCCTTGTCGTTAAGGTAGTCTATATTAGGAATTGTGTCATAGCAACCCTTAGAATTTTTTTTTTTATAAAATTTGGAAAAGAATATGTTCATGTATGAATTGAATTAGTCACAGTCGTTTATGTATACATTACTATACTATGATTTTACATATTTTTATTCAATATATTATAGGCGATAGTTTTTAATACAATTTATATTAAGAAGAATAATTTCAAGGATTTTTTATTTGATTTTTTTCTCATAAAACAGAGATTCTACTTATACTAGTAGTCCTCTTCATTATTTAGAATTTTTAGGTACAATTTTTTAGTAGGCAATATATATATATATATATATTATATATTGTATATTGTATATTGTATATTCTATATTGTATATTCTATATTGTATATTCTATATTGTATATTCTATATTGTCTATTGTCTTTTATAAATTAAATGGATTCATAAATATACTTTTTTGTTGTATATTTTTATCAATTAAAAATATCTTATAAATTTATTTAATTGATAAAAAATTTTTTGTAATGTATATGATTTGAAAAATTTTGAATTGAATATATTTTTTTATAATATATTAAAAGATTTCTCATCAAATTCCCTTTTTAAACAAAAAATAGTTATCAATATTTATTATATATAAATCAAAATGCCAAGATCGCAACGGAATGACAATTTTATTGATAAAACATTTACAATTGTAGCAGATTTATTATTGAGAATCATTCCTACTACACAAAGAGAAAAAGAAGCTTTTACTTATTATCGAGATGGTGCGATTTGTTATTTAGTATATTATATTGTATACTAATACACAGTTAATAAATAAAAATTGTGAAATTCTTACTGAGTGAGAGTAAACCTAAGTGTAAGACTCTCCGCTATGTATCCATAAGTTGACACAGTCCTCTATGGGGATTCTTTTCTAACATAAAGCAAAGAGGATAATTCTATTATAGAGTGCATTACATATTTATCTTTCAATAAATATTATCTACGCATAAATATCTGATATTGAAATGATGTTATCTATAATAGATATGTACATTTGGTAACAAGCTACGTAGAGAAACTGACAAGAAAAAGTTTTCGTAATAGTTGATATATAGACTTGATTATTTAATTATTCACAACTAAGCATATATGGTTAGGAAAATAGGATCCATCTCATCTATTTTTTGGATATCCATAAAACCATCGGAAAATGTCAGGGCATGTTATCATAAAACAAAGTGTTGAAAACAAACAAATAGACATTCAATTGTTACTGAAATTCAACTTATATCCGTAACTGATTCTGTCTAGAAGGATGGCTAGAGATGTCTATGTACAAGCACTAGCCCCTGTTAGTAATATTTACTGAAGAATAATAACTCATATTCTTCACATGGTAAGCTAGCTAGGAGAAGCCGTATGAGAAGTGGATCTCATGTACGGTTTTGAAACGGAGCCTTTTTTATTATAGGCGATCGTAACGAATGTCAGCTCAATCAGAAGGTGAATATGCAGAAGCTTTGTTAAATTATTATGAAGCTATGCGTTTGGAAATTGATCCTTATGACCGTAGTTATATATTATATAATATAGGTTTAATTCATACCAGTAATGGAGAGCATGCTAAAGCTTTAGAATATTATTTTCAAGCACTTGAAAGAAATCCATCTTTACCTCAAGCTTTGAACAATATGGCTGTGATCTGTCATTACGTGCGACTACTTAATTTGTAATATTTGAGAATTCTTTTCTCGTTTTTTCTTGCTATAAAAAAAATGGATAACATGTATATCATTTTTGATGTATAAGAGCTGTTATCTAAACCCTATTTTTTCTATAGTCCAATAGTCCAAATGGGAGACTAGTTGTCTCTATGGATAAACTAAATGAATTAGTAAGTTAAGCGTCATAAAGATCTTATATCGAAAATGGACCTGAAACGATATAAATGTTTTTTCTGCTTATTTTCTTTTTACTGTAATAAAAAAGATTTTCTATAAAGCAGTGGCGTAGAGCTAAATCCTAAAGAGAAATCTTTATCTTATGTATAGAATATTTTTCTATAAAAAAAGAATTTTTACATAAATAGAGTAGTTACTTATCAATAAAATAATATCGTATATGTTGATGAGTAGGAAGCTAGATATTTTGATTCTAATGATTTGATGATAATTATTATTATTAAAAGAAAACTTATGTTTTAAATACTTTATTCTAAGTAATAGAATATGTTTTTATATAAGCATGCAACATGTTATATATGCAAGTATGATTCTATTAGTAATTTTCTGCTTAGAATAAAACTAATTCCATATTTGAGCCGTATGAAACAGGAAACTTTCAAGTACGGTTCTCAAGGGGGGGCTACCTTTGTCCCTATCCTGCCCGAGGAGAACAAGCCATTGAACAAGGTGATTCTGAAACATCTGAAGCTTGGTTTGATCAAGCTGCTAATTATTGGAAACAAGCTATTGCTTTAGCGCCTAACAATTATATTGAAGCACAGAATTGGCTTAAAATTACTGGACGTTTAAAAGATTAGATTTTTGCTTTTCTTCAAATAAAGACACTTTTAATGAAAAAATAGATATATACTAATAAATAGTTTTATACTATAAATATCTTATGGCAAAAAAAACTAACATGTTTTTTTCTACAAGATGTTTCTTTTTACATTAGACAAAGAATGTCCTTGAGAAACCTCAAGGACACTCTTTATGTTCCTCATCATATATTCCTTCATTGTTATATAGATTTCTCCAGAAATTCATTCCATATGTTTTTTTTAGAGACATTGATAATTCAAGAGCTTTTGTTATCTTTTTTATTAATTTAGCTTATATAATCTAACTGTGGAATAATCTTTAGGAAGTATAGAATTATAAAGAGTTCCATACTTCCCAAAGATTATTCCACAGTTAGCAACTTTGTGTCAAATAGAAAATACTATAGAGTATCCATAGTATCAAATTCGAATTTGATTTCTTTCCATACTTCACAAGCAGCAGCTAATTCAGGACTCCATCTAGCAGCTTCACGAATTACTTCGTTACCTTCGCGAGCAAGATCACGACCTTCGTTACGTGCTTGCACACATGCTTCTAGAGCAACACGGTTAGCTACAGCTCCAGGAGCGTTACCCCATGGGTGACCTAAAGTACCACCACCAAATTGAAGTACAGAATCGTCTCCAAAGATTTCAGTCAAAGCAGGCATATGCCATACGTGAATCCCACCAGAAGCTACTGGTAGAACCCCAGGAAGAGCTACCCAGTCTTGAGTAAAGTAAATACCACGGCTACGATCTTTTTCAGTGTAGTCATCACGAAGAAGATCTACGAATCCAAGGGTTACTTGACGTTCACCTTCTAGTTTACCAACTACAGTACCAGAGTGGATATGGTCACCACCAGATAGACGTAGAGCTTTCGCTAATACACGGAAGTGAATACCGTGGTTCTTTTGTCTATCAATAACTGCGTGCATAGCACGGTGAATGTGTAGAAGAAGACCATGATCGCGGCAATAATGAGCTAAACTGGTGTTAGCAGTGAAACCACCGGTTAGGTAGTCATGCATAATAATTGGTACACCCAAATCATAAGCATAAGCTGCTCTCTTCATCATTTCTTCACAAGTACCTGCAGTAGCATTTAGGTAATGCCCTTTGATCTCGCCAGTTTCAGCTTGAGCTTTGAAGATTGCTTCAGCTACAAACAAGAATCTGTCTCTCCAGCGCATGAAAGGTTGGGAAGTTACGTTTTCATCATCTTTGGTGAAATCCAATCCACCACGTAAACATTCATATACAGCTCTACCATAGTTTTTAGCAGATAAACCTAGTTTAGGCTTAATAGTACAACCTAATAGAGGACGACCGTACTTATTTAGTTTGTCTCTTTCTACTTGAATACCATGAGGAGGGCCTTGGAAAGTTTTTACGTATGCAGCTGGAATACGTAAATCTTCTAGACGCAAAGCTCTAAGAGCTTTAAATCCGAATACGTTACCTACGATGGAAGTAAATAGGTTAGTAACAGAGCCTTCTTCGAATAGATCTAAAGGATATGCTACGTATGCGATGTACTGGTTTTCTTCTCCAGGTACAGGTTCGATATCATAGCAACGACCTTTGTAACGATCTAGGCTAGTAAGACCATCAGTCCAAACAGTAGTCCATGTTCCGGTGGAAGATTCAGCTGCTACCGCTGCACCAGCTTCTTCTGGAGGAACTCCTGGCTGAGGAGTCATACGGAATGCAGCTAAAACGTCGGTTTCTTTGGTTTCATAATCAGGAGTATAGTAAGTTAAACGATAGTCTTTTACCCCTGCTTTAAAGCCAGCACCAGCTTTAGTCTCTGTTTGTGGTGACATAAGTCTCTCCCTACAAGTCAATTAATAACTATTGGAAGCACAAGGTCTGCTCGAAATATATAGAATACCATGTGAACAATGTAACATAAAAGTGAGAAGATTGCAACACATTTTACCTTATTTGTTCAGTACAACTTCATTCTACATTGTGGTAGCTGATTTATACAACATTTTTCTGATAAGCTTTGCTATATCATTTAGAAGATACTGAAAAGACTTTATACCATTACTTGACTAAAGTAGTACATCATGATACGTTTTAAGTAAAGATTGAATTGTTCTTTTACTATATAATTTGTCTATAAAGAACAAAAATCTTATTTATTAATCGATTGAATTGATGCAAGATGCCTAATCATCAGTTAAAATACAAACAATTTCGCCAAAAGGCTTCCCATGAATATTACCTATCTCGCACTTGGAGTGTCAGTAGCTACTACCAAGAACATAGGACGTATTACCCAAATTATCGGTCCTGTTCTAGATGCAGCATTTGCTCCTGGTCAAATGCCTAATATTTATAATGCTTTGGTAGTGAAAGGACAAAATCCAGCAGGTCAAGAAATTAATATAACTTGCGAAGTACAACAACTTCTAGGGGATAATAGAGTTAGAGCTGTAGCGATGAGTGCTACTGATGGTCTAATGAGAGGAATGGAAGTAATTGATACTGGAGCTCCTTTAAGCGTACCTGTTGGAGAAGTAACCTTAGGTAGAATTTTTAACGTACTTGGTGAACCAGTAGATGAACTTGGTCCAGTTAATGTAACTACTACATTTCCAATTCATAGATCTGCTCCAGCATTTACTCAATTAGATACAAAACTTTCTATTTTTGAAACTGGTATTAAAGTTGTAGATTTATTAGCTCCATATCGTCGAGGAGGAAAAATTGGACTATTTGGAGGTGCTGGTGTAGGCAAAACAGTATTGATCATGGAATTGATCAATAATATTGCTAAAGCACATGGTGGCGTTTCCGTTTTTGGTGGAGTAGGTGAACGTACTCGTGAAGGAAATGACCTGTACATGGAAATGAAAGAATCCAAAGTTATTAATGAAGAAAATATTTCTGAATCTAAAGTAGCTTTGGTATATGGTCAAATGAATGAACCTCCTGGAGCTAGAATGCGCGTAGGTTTAACTGCGTTAACCATGGCTGAATACTTCAGAGATATTAACAAACAAGACGTTTTATTGTTCATTGATAACATTTTCCGTTTTGTACAAGCAGGTTCTGAAGTATCTGCTTTGCTAGGACGTATGCCTTCTGCAGTAGGATATCAGCCAACTCTTGCTACAGAAATGGGAGGTTTACAAGAGAGAATTACTTCTACTAAAGAAGGATCTATTACTTCTATTCAAGCTGTTTATGTACCTGCAGACGATTTAACTGACCCTGCTCCAGCTACTACCTTTGCTCACTTAGATGCTACTACTGTACTTTCTCGTGGTTTAGCAGCAAAAGGTATTTATCCTGCTGTTGATCCTTTGGATTCTACTTCTACTATGTTACAACCATGGATTGTAGGTGCAGAACATTACGAAACTGCTCAAGGTGTTAAGAGAACATTACAACGTTACAAAGAATTACAAGATATTATTGCAATTCTTGGATTAGATGAACTATCTGAAGAAGATCGTTTAGTTGTAGCAAGAGCTCGTAAAGTTGAACGTTTCTTGTCTCAACCATTCTTTGTTGCGGAAGTATTCACAGGATCTCCAGGAAAATATGTCAGTTTAGCAGAAACTATTAAAGGTTTTCAAATGATTCTGTCTGGAGAGTTAGACCATCTTCCAGAACAAGCCTTCTATCTGGTTGGTAATATTGACGAAGCTACTGCCAAAGCTGCAACCATACAAGTGGAGAGTGCATAAAAATTATGACATTAAATCTTCGTGTGATGGCCCCCAATCGTATTGTTTGGAATTCTGAAGCTCAAGAGATTATTTTATCAACTAATAGTGGTCAAATTGGTATTTTGCCAAATCACGCTCCCTTGTTAACTGCATTAGACATTGGCATTATGAAAATACGCATCAATAGTCAATGGTCAACAATGGCTTTGATGGGGGGGTTTGCCATGATTGAAAATAATCAATTGACTATTTTGGTTAACGAAGCAGAAAAAGCTAGTGATATTGATCGTGAAGAAGCTCAAAAAAGTTTTGAATTGACTCAAGAAAACTTAAATCAAGCAACAGGTCGTAAACAGACCATCGAAGCTAATTTAGCTTTTCAAAGAGCAAAGGCAAGATTAGAAGCTGTTAATGCAAATCCTGCTTCAGCTTATAATTAATTCCGTATGTCAAAATTTCATTGATTCATACCTTGGTGAATTTTGAATTCACCAAGGTATGAATGTATGGCTACGACAATTCTGCCAATATAAATAGTGACATAATTGTTCTTTCTACACTACGAAGTAGTGAATAATAAAAAATATCCACAGAATTTGCCTACTATTGGAATTGAACCAATGACTCTCGCCGTATGAAAGCGATACTCTAACCGCTGAGTTAAGTAGGCATCAATATGTATTTTACCTTTCGACAATCTCTTGGTCAAGAGATATGTTTTTATGTATTGACAACAATATTATCCTCGATGTATAATATGTCTTGGGGCTATAGCTCAGCGGTAGAGCACCTCGTTTACACCGAGAATGTCTACGGTTCAAATCCGTATAGCCCCAAGTGATATTTATTCGAGGTTTTCAATACTACTTTCCTAAACTTATTATAAAAAATAAAAAATACAACCGTTATGATAAGATTTTATCTAATTAGATAGTTATCTACGCTAGATTGGTTGTATAATAAATTTGTAAATCTTATTAACTTCAAACAAAATATACCGTATACGGTATATTTCTCATAATGTATTTCTTTCTATTTTCTTCAGAAAGAAAAAAATAAATAAAATAAGATTTTTTTAGAACAAAATCTACTCTTTATACTTTCAAATTTTACTATGTCTACAATACCAAAATATGAATACTTTTGGGTTTTCTTGCTAATAGCTAGCTTAATTCCTGTTTTGGCGATTACGGTATCTAGTCTGATAGCACCTTCTACTAGTAAAACTCCGGAAAAACGTACTACATATGAATCAGGTATAGAACCAATGGGTGAATCTTGGATACAATTTCAGATTCGCTATTATATGTTTGCTTTAGTTTTTGTCGTTTTTGATGTTGAAACAGTCTTTTTGTATCCATGGGCTATGAGTTTTGATGATTTAGGAGTTTTAGCTTTTGTGGAAGTTTTAGTTTTTGTTGTAATTCTAATCGTTGGGTTAATTTATGCATGGCGTAAAGGAGCACTAGAATGGTCATAAATTCCAAAAATATTAATTCTTTTAACTCTGCTAAGGATTCGACAGACAATTTCGTTACGAATCCCATGGCTTTCTCACCTAACGGAGAAGATATATCTGACTCTGTGATTCTAACGACTTTTCATGATTTTTCTAATTGGATTAGATTATCCAGTTTGTGGCCTTTGCTTTATGGAACAAGTTGTTGTTTTATTGAATTTGCTTCTTTACTTGGTTCACGTTTTGATTTTGATAGGTATGGTTTAGTTCCTAGATCCAGTCCGCGCCAATCAGATTTAATCATTACAGCAGGTACTGTTACAATGAAAATGGCACCTTCTTTAGTACGTTTGTATGAACAAATGCCTGAACCTAAATATGTCATTGCTATGGGAGCTTGTACTATTACGGGTGGAATGTTTAGTACCGATTCTTATAGTACTGTAAGAGGCGTAGATAAATTAATTCCAGTAGATGTCTATTTGCCTGGTTGTCCACCAAAACCAGAAGCGATTTTTGATGCTGTAACTAAGTTGCGTAAAAAAGTGGGACAGGAAACTGCACATGAGAAAGCTACTTTTAAACAAAGTCAACGCTGTTTTAGTTTATTGCATAAATTAGAACCAGTTCCTGCAATCCATACTGGTAATTACGATCAAAAAACCCTTCGTCGTACTCCTGGTAATGAAATTGATACTTCTTTAGAACTTCCTTTAGAACGTATCTTAGAAAGTTCTTTTGAAACTTCTTCTAGTCAATTGGTAGATAGGTAAGAAAAAACAATATCAAGAAAATGAAACAATTTATATTTTTGAAATAACAGGAAAGGTAATATGGCGGATTCTTATTTAAAGAATGCTTCTCAAATGCAAGGTCGATTATCTGCTTGGCTAGCTACTCATGGACTCGCTCATAGACCTCTTGGGTTTGATTATCAGGGAGTCGAAATGGTAGAAGTTAGACCTGAGGATTGGCCTTCGGTTGCAGTTGCATTATATGTGTATGGCTTTAATTATTTACGTTTACAATGTGCTTATGATGTTGCTCCAGGAGGCCCATTGGCAAGTGTTTATTATTTAACTAAAGTGCAAGATTGTGCAGATCAGCCGGAAGAAGTTTGTATTAAATTATTTGTTTCTAGAGAAAATCCTAGGGTTCCATCTGCATTTTGGATTTGGAAAAGTGCTGATTTCCAAGAAAGAGAATCTTACGATATGTTAGGAATTGTATATGACAGTCATCCTCATTTAAAAAGAATATTGATGCCAGATAGTTGGCTAGGTTGGCCACTTCGGAAAGATTATATTACTCCTGATTTTTATGAGTTGCAAGATGCATATTAAAAAAACAGTTTTTTTTAATATTATGATATATAATTTTATATAAATAATATTATATATCATAATTTACCAAAAATTTTTACCTTATCAGATAAAAATTTTTGGTAAATTATGATATTATTCATTCGAATATATATATATACATACTTATAAGAAGAATATTTAGTTATTATATGAATAATGAAAAATCATATGCCAGGAACCAGGATTGAACTGGTGACACGAGGATTTTCAGTCCACTGCTCTACCGACTGAGCTATCCTGGCTATAACGAATTATACACCACATCTCCTGATGCTGTCAAGTTATACTCAAAGATTTGATTGTATAAGATGTGTACAAACTATTTACAAAAATTAAATTGCATAGAGAAAATTATTTAGAAAATCATCAAAAAATCGAATGACTCTCATTGCAAAAACATAGTTCTCTGATTTTTTTGACAACTTCAAGAGAACTATGTTTTAACTCTATAATTACTAGCATTTTAGAAGATGGGTTGCCCGGGACTCGAACCCGGAACTAGTCGGATGAAAGTCGGTTAATTTTTGAGTTTATTATTTTCTAAAACAACCTCTTCCCAAACCGTGCTTGCAACTTTCATTGCACACGGCTCTCTTTGTATAGTTCTTAAAGAAAAGATATAGGAGTATGATTTTTCTTTTGATTAACTTTATTATGTATGTTTCTAGTTTTTTTGTAAACGATAAATGTTTTCTAACAAAGTACTCATAGGATCAGGTTTTTTCAAGTAAGAATTCCACCATCTTATATTCATTTTTGAATAACTTATCAGATTTTTTTCTGATAGAAGTCTGTTTCTAGTTTTTTCAAGTTGATAATGGTTTACAAGTTGTTTCCCATATTTTTTCCATATTTTTCTAAGATTAGTCTTATGTTTACATGCTAATGTCTTTGCACATGAGTAATGTAAGATATGGTTGATACGTGATAAGTCTTTTTGATTAATAGATCCACTATAATACTTAAGCAGACTATTTCTGATTTGTTTAAATCGATCTATAATCGTAATATCAGAGCACGTTGACCATGCTGATTTACTAATTGGATACCCAAAAGAAGTACAAAAGCGATATGTGGCTAATATTCGCATAAGCCATAGTAATGGATTCAATATGACTAGAGATTTTCTATTAAACAAACATCTTAAGTGATCAGTATATATATGTATACGAAGAAATGTGTTTTTGATTTTGAACTGTAATAGAAAACCTAAAAAAAGACTAGGACTTTCTACTAAAACAGTTTTGAGTTTATTTGAATTACATACAAATCCTATACGATATTGCAAGAAATTAAGATATCTGTGTTCTATAACAGATTTGTTTTTTGATGAATTTTGTAGATTCAAAAAGCAAATATTTTTTGCACGTATGTATTTATAAGTAATGGAATTTTTTTCATAAGAAAAGGGTTCTTTATAAGAAGTTGAATATATTTTTTTTTTACAACTTGCTTCCTTTTTTTAGATACATTTGTTTTAGATACATTGGAAATTCCATATTGTAATCTTTTTTGCCACTACTTAAATCATTCATTGAAGATTGATCTAAAGAGTTATTTGGCAATAGCAAATGTGATATATGGAATATGAAGAATTTATCGTATTCTAATGTATACCAGTTCAATAACATTTTTCCTAATATACTGGATAGAAAATTCTTGTTCAAAGAATTTTTTTTGTCTACTTCACAAATGTTTTTATGTAATATTTGTCTAAATAAGTGTATTAAGGATACGTCTTCTATTTGAGTACGTAAAATACGAACTAATATTTCAGGATGTATGAAAGAAG